GAGAGAGAGAGAGAGAGAGAGAGAGAGAGAGAGAGAGAGAGAGAGAGAGAGACTGTGTGTGACTATGTTTGTATATAATGCAGAAACTTCAGCTTTAAATAACCATACCTCTATTTGAAGCTGGATATATATAAGCTTTATTAGAATATCATGGATATTAACCCTCATATTCAAGAGGATTACTAAAGTTATGGGGGGAAAGCTAGATAATGAATAATTTTTCACACTTTCTACTGCCATAAAGATTACAATGAAACCTGGTTTCTACCTTATATCTCAAGAAATGTTATGGAGATAGTTTTGGAAAAACTTCATTATCTAACATCTCTTGGGAGATGAAGTGGAAGCTAAGTTCAAAGTTCTGCAGCTGTGAAAACATTCTCTGTTGGGCTCATATTAGATTTCAGATAGCATCCACTCATTCTCTGAGCAAAGCAGATTCAGATGCTTGTTGATTTCTCAAGTTAGGAATGAATTTTGTGAAGATTGACATGAAATACAGTCGAGATTCTTAAAACATAATTATAGTAATTAAATGTGAATAATTGTTAGAATTAATCATCTTCAAGCATTATCATATAGTTGAAATCTTGTAACATAATGTGATGTTGAATGAAGAATAATGGCCAGTAAAGAACAACTAAATTTGAAACAGGCAAAACCAGCTATGTAAAGAAGCATCATTGACAACAGAATAAATAAATAAGCAAACAAACACACTTTCTTGGACCTTATTATATAAGCAGTAAAAAGAGGGAGACGTTATTAAGAAGTCAAGCCATTAGCAAATTCAGTTCAGTTGAGAGTCACTGTTATTATTTAAATTTCTAGTTTGAATCTGATTTTCATGTGGAATAAATTATAGTCCTGGGTGTAGAGATGAAGGGAGACAAATGACATCTGTGTGTCTGACACAAATTATATAATTCATGACCCTTGTGAGTTGACTTCATGGTACATGTGGAATCATTGTGGAGTACCTTGATTTTAACAAGAAAAAAGAAAGAAAATAGATTGCTTTTCTCTTCGGTGTAAGGATTTATTACGTTACTTCAGAACAGCTGTTTTAGTTAGTGTGTTTTGAATGCATGAATGCATGAAATATAATAGCTGTTTTTCCCGCTCTGATAAATCTGCTGAATTCTTAAGTTGTTCAGATTACCAGAATTTAGCTACTCATCACCATGTTGAATAATCAGTGACAAATGTAGTGCTCACAACAAACTCATCGGAACAAGTTCCAAATAATCAACAATACTCCAGATGAACTGTACAAACATCCCCAGCTGAACAGATGCTGGGAATCATAACTCAGCACCATCTGGAATGTGACAGCTTCTGTACTGTATCTCTGTTCTAAGTGAGTGCTGAGCTGAGTTAAAAACATAGTTAGTGTATGTCAGCCTTCCTATACTGGTACCCTCCAGATGTTTTGCTATTTCAGTGACCCAGAAATTGTCAGAATGGCAAACTTTTAAAATATGATTGAGTGGCTATTTTGTTCTTGTTCTGTATTTTTAGAGATATTAGAAAAGTTACTTTTTCTCAGTGGTTTATAGACAGCTAATGCTTTTCCATCAGTGTAGGGCGTGGATGTCAAACTTGCCATGTCACATTGCTGTCACGTGACATTTCGTGACATTTTTCCCTTTGCGGAGCTGGGGTGGGCATGGCCTGTGCATGGTGCATCTGGCTCTCATGGGCTGCCAGTTTGACAGCTCTGATGTAGTCAATAATAAGCCATAAATGAAATCTAGTATCATCATAGTCGATATGTTTAATGTCAGAAAATGCAGATTTGCACAATATTGACTAAATCATGGATGCTGAAAAAGATTACAGTTCAGTGAAAGTTATGTATTCGGTGCATATAAGGTCTTACACTTTCATTTCAGGATCTGAAAACACCATAGGTGATTTATAAAACATTTGTCAATATGATAGAAATATAAGATAGTGTTGAGGACAGAATGATGGACTTGATCCAAAGACATGTGATCTGATTCTGCTAACTTTTTACATGTTTATAATGATATAGGGCCAGACTAATATAATTAGCTTGCAAGCTGGATGTCAGCAAGTCAACTCTTGGGAGTTGCCCATCTTATTCTTTTTTCTTGCAAATTTTCAAGGGCATTCTAGTAACCTTTTTGATCAAGTCCATCCACCTTTTCCATTTTCTTCTACTTCCATCATAGAGTAATCCATTTTTCTAATCCATTGTCTGGTCACACTACATGTTCAAAGTATGTAATTTTTTGGTTTGTTCAGGGTACCAAAGCAGTCAGATTTTATCTGGATGAGAGTGATTGGTTCTTCTTAAAATTTATATAGTCTTCTTAGCAGCCCTGTCCAACTCTATAATTCAGGGGCATCTATTTTCTTTGTCTTGTAGATTCAGGGCCTTTCACAAGCACACATTAATTTTTAAAGGACCAAATTATCCTTGTACAAATTATATTTTAACGCATCTATGGCCAACTTTTCCATAGAAAATTTAACTCAGGAAGAATGGAATTAAAGAAGAGAAACTAGAGAGAGGAGGATAACTATGCAAATGCTGTTCAGTAGACTTCCAAAGATAAATGTGCAATCCAGCTAGAAAGCTGCAAGAAAGCCATCTCGAATGGGAAAAATGGTTGAGAGAGAAAGGACAAGGCGCCATTTCTCCATAGGCTGCTAAAGTGAAGTTCCTTCCATAATTTATTTAATTCATCCTTCATTTTAAATGGTCCTAGAAGCTCTTGGTATTTTCATGAATACACATGAAGCAAGTATAGTATAACAAGAATCTATGACCAATGGAAAAACTATTACATAGGAATGTGAAGATTATGGGTGGTGCCTCCAGATGAAGCACTTGTGGATGTGTACTGCTAATTGAGGGTGGCTTACTTTGATTAACATACAATGTGCTGACTGAGCTTTTTTGCCTATGCAGAAGCAGTATTACTGAGTGAAGTGAAGCAGCTGCTCCACTGCGTTGCATTGAAGCAGGTTCCCTCTTTGCTTTGTGGAACAGTTTCAAAGAAATGCTACACTTGAATCAACAAAATAGGAATTCCTTCAAAGATCTGGAAGTTCCTTCTGATTTGCATTGTACTTGACTCAAAGCAGGAAGGATATGAGTATGAGAGGCACATACTTAGGTAGCATTCTTAGCGCTACATTCTAAATCTACTCTGCAGGGAGTATTTCATTTCCTAGGTGACAACTGATGCAACTACTGTACTTCATAAATAAAATCCTTCCTATTAAAAAAAAATAGGTTGGAAAGAGGATTTTAGATTCAGTTGTTTTCAAAATTCCCTAATCTATCATTATATACAATTTGTAAGAGAAGATACTATATATTGTTCAGTTGGCAATGTATTTGCAGAAATATTTATTTTAAAATTGCTAGACTTAGCAGTGTATGGAAGAAAGCTGCTGAGCCATATGTTTGCTATTGCAATTATAAAAGCTGCCAGCGGTTATTCTTGATGATAAAATCTATGAAATATAAAACCTGAATTACTTAATTATTGATAGTTTTTCAGACTTGCAAGAGTGATGTCAGCCTTACAAGGCAGTCCAGACAAGAAGCATGCCCAGAGAACTAAGTCTGCCTGTACTATAAGATTAATGGAACGTAAATCTCTTCCTCCCTCCCATTTTTAGTCGAAGACACTAGAGATAGTTCCTTCTGAGACTTTTGCCATCACCCCATTTCTTTTGCATGCTCAGTTGATTTTTGTCCAATCTGCAGCTCTTCCTCCTGTCTCCCAAAATCATTTCCACAAACCATTAGAGTAAGATGGAGAAAAACTGAAAAGAGTACAGTTCGTTAACTACAATACTTTTTGTACAACCACTTTGTTTTTACAAATTCAGCTCTTTCAATAGCTTCATCTTCATTATAAGATTCCTGAGGAAAATAAATCACGTTTTCTGGTATATGTGTTAGTCGTAACATGGATTATATTCTGCCATGACCTACATGATGAAAGGTTTCGACTGTTAGTGAAGCAAATATAAATCTGCTTTTATTCTCTTCCTTTTTTGTTATCTAGTTTATATTAGCTACCTGATTTCATGACTCTTTGTCTTTTCAGAAATCTCCCTGTTCTTCTGGCTTGTCTTTCTACATGTATGGCTTTATCATTCTTTGTAAAATGTTAAACAAATATTTTCAGGTTTAGGAAATTAATGCTTTTTTCCCCTATTTGCAACACTTTTTTCAGTATAAGTACGTATACTGATTTTTTCCAATTCCTAGCCATATAGTTTTGTTCTATATTTGTAGACAAAGAGCTGATAGCACTTTATGGACTCTTCATAAATACCCTATAATACTTCAGTAACTTTAAATCACTTGGAAACAGGGTTCTTACAGCTAAATAGACATGCTTTTATTTTTTTTAACAACTGTTTAAAGAAATAAATGTTTAACTCTATAGTTTTCTTTGTACTGTAGATCTCTATGATACAATTTGATGTCTCATTTCTTTTTTCCCACAACTATAATCAATACTTTTAAGGAATACTCAAAGCTTACTTTAATTTCACAAATAGATGCTTATATTTCTCAGTGTCTCTTAGGATAGAAGGAGCCTAAGAAGTATGCTTGGAAAATGGACTCTGGGGATCACTGAAGATTCGAGCTGCTGGCAAGCAAAAACTAAACAATTGCAAAGTTACAAATGCCTTCAAGAATATAAAGGCAGTCAGCTTTCAAAAGACATTATTCTGATTAGGTGTTTACCCACTGTTTTCTAGTTGTGATAAGCAGGAATTAATGACAATGTCATTTTTAGCTTTGAAAATGTAAAATGAAGTCATAATTGAGATGATAAATATGCAATGTCAATCATATTCATGAATTTCTTGTTCACAGCTTTGATGTTGAAAATGGCCCCTCACCTGGTCGTAGCCCACTTGATCCTCAGGCTGGCTCTTCTTCAGGGCTTGTGCTCCACACCACATTTCCAGGGCATAGCCAACGTAGAGAGTCATTTCTTTATCGGTCGGACAGTGACTATGACCTGTCACCAAAGACCATGTCACGGAATTCTTCTGTTCCAAGTGAACAGTAAGTACATCTATTTTATCCTAGAATTTCTACTGAGCAGACCGAAATTCTAGTTTCCACAGATCTGAAGGCAACAAATTGGAAAATGTTGATCTAGAATAATCCTGGGGCAACTTCTTAAAGGAAGAATTTTCTCAAAAAAGTGAAACCAGTTTGCAAGCTGATAATACCAGACAATTATGTGTGTCTAATCATCATGTGGGTAGTTGTTGCTATCAGCTTCATGAATATCATCATCAGGCAAACAGCAACAACCTCTTTCTAATAAAAAAAATTAGTACCTCCATATCGTCAGGTCTGAAGTGTAACAACAGAGAGAACAGAATATGCTGACTTGAAAAAGAAAAGAAAGATGTTTGTATATTCTGTGGAATCCAAGGGAACATTCCCTTTCTGCCTGCCAAAACCACAACCTAATAAAGAGTGAGTTTTTATGATCATCAGGACTTGGGAGAACAAGGAATGGAATGACTGGGAAGCTGGAATTCTGGACAACTTAGAAACTAAGAATATAGCACAATATTCTGTTGCACTCTAACTTCTGGAACAACAGTGGTAATGGTGGGCTTGAATAATCACAGTTTACATAAGGAACACCTGTTTATTTTTATTTCCTGTATACTTATTATATAATTTTCCATATTGAAAATCCAGACAAATCGTCTGTATTTAAATAGCATTAAAAGCAGGGTATGTCAACAAAAGCCAGGAAATCCAAAGATGGTCTTTTCTCATAATGTTATGCCCTTTTTCCAACTGAGAGTTAGTATATAAACCTAACTGGAATTTCCTAGTCTTTATTGTCTTATGTTGGGAGAAGAAAATGATAATTTCTGCTTGGATTATTTCATTTCTTTGGACATACGTTCTGATTAGAGAACCATTTAAATTAGCAGTAATTATTTATAGCCAAATAAAATAGTAAAAAGTTTTTTAACGAGGCTGTTTGTTGATTACTGGGTCTGCTCATTTTGTACGGCACCCACTATAATTCTTAGAGCAATATCATCAATGTGTGATTCAATTAGGTGTTCTTTTTTCAGTGGCTTGCTACACAGACTAAACTGTATGAACTGAGAGGGATAACTTGTCTAAGGTCACCCAGCTGGCTTATGTGCCTATGGGGAGTTTGAACCTGGGTTTAGAGTATCACTTTATTTTAATAATATAATTTTTAAAAAGTAGGAAACATCATTTCAAATCAGCCACACATATATTAAAATGATTCACTGGACTCACTTTATAATTAAATGGGACATTTAGACAGAAAATATTTCAATATTAAAGGCAAACAATTCCAAAACTTCATGATTTAATTTGATTTATCCATACAATTTATCCATACAGTTTAAACACTGGGACTGTGCATGCTTAAAAACAATTTGCAAGGGGTACTTTAAAATGCCCAGAAATGGCAACCTGTCAGGCCCAAATCCAAGAATGACAACTGAAATTCTTCTAAACTGAGTTCTTTATTGCTGTAGACAAAATCTTGCCAAACTCTACTATCTGCATCTACAATATAGCCTGTAAATTATGAGGGAGGGGCTGTTTCACCCACTTTCTCTCTCTAATATCTGGGCTAAAGTGAGTTGCCTCTTCCTTCTATGGAAATCACTGCTTCCTCCTGGGAATCAAGCTCCTCATTACATTTCATCATAGAACCCAGCATCTCTTTAAAGCAGCCGTGTCTTTTTCAGGCCTCATACAAGCTTGAATAAAGACATGGCTGCTTTAAGGACCCACTTAAGATCAATCAGTTCATTAAAGCAGCAGTGGCTTTTCATATGCAAAGCTGAAAAAAGACATACCTACTTTTATGTACTAAATGCCTGTTCTCATATTTTCTGAGGTATCTCTTAAAATCATTTTTAAATGTGCATAGACTTACTAAAATGCATAAAATGATGAATGTTTTTCTTTTTTTCTTTTAAATAGAAAGGCATCTCTAACCTGTACACTGAAAGTTGTCATTTCTAATACATATGCTGTGGGGAAATGTATATAGGATCATGTGAAGAAATTTTTGAATCAATTATAAAAATAAAAAGTCAGAGTGCAAAAGGTAGAATCAGGGGTGTGATTCAAAAATCCCAACAACCGATTGGCTGCCCATTGCCGGGTGGGCATGGTCATGGTCAGTGTGGCCTACCGGAACTTCTTGTTTCCTGCTTCCAGTGAGCCTCCAGAGCCCGGGGGAGGCCTTTTCACCCTTCCAAGGGTCCGGAGGTCCAAGGGCCCAGAGGTCCCAGGCCTCTGGGAGAGCGAAAACTGCCTCCCCTGGGCTCTGGAGGCCCTCTGGAAGCCAGAAATAGACCTGTTTCCAGACTTCCGGAAGACCTGTTTTCTCTCTCCCAGAGCCTCCGCACGACCCTGCGCTTACCTGCATCACGTGGAGACTCCGGGGAGGGGAGGGGAGGGGTGGGTGGGGCCAGCTGGTCGGTTGAAATACCAGTTCGATGAACCAGATGTAACTTTAACATCCGGTTCACCTGAACCGGTCCGAATCGGTAGAATCCCATCCCTGGATAGAATCCTGAATAGAAAGAGAGAAAAACTATACAGCAATAAAGGACTTCATTTGCTACTCTAATTTAAAATCACTATTCACAAGTTTGGTTGTATATCTTTATAATCTTAATTTGTGCATGAATATGAAACTTAAACTTAAAATTAGTCAAAGTTTTAGAACAAGATGAATAGATATTGTGATGCTTCTTAGTTATACAGTTATTTTTCAAAATCTAAAACGCATGTTCTTTTTTGTTTTCATTTTTTATTAGACATGGGGATGACCTGATAGTGACACCATTTGCGCAGGTATGTTCCAAATATTGTAATACAGTTTCTACCACTAACACAATTGAATTAAAACATTTGAGAACCAAACTGAACATATAAATACTGTTTGTTGTTTCACTTAGACCTGGCCTCAGGATCCCTACACTCATCACACCTGCCCACATTGTGCTATTCAGTTCCCTTAGGCACATTAGACCTCAAAGTCTTTAAATTCTCCACTCATTCTCTAAAGCCCTTTCTGAAAACTTATCTGATAAACGGTTACAGTTGCTTTATGCCTTTAACGGAGCTAATTCAGTTGTTCGATTATCTCATAATGTCACAAGGAAAGATCTGGTAAAAAGCATTCAAAATATTCAAAAAGACAATTTTCTTATGACCCCACAATAAAAGATCTGGAAATTCCCATTTCAATTTCCAGGTTCTGTATTTACTAAAAATAGCATTAAATTTATTTTTACTGACATCTGTGTAAATCTTTGCCTTCTTAATCTTGCCAGCTATGTTATGCTAAATTTGCTTCCATTTTACTGCTCACAGTATGCTTTTCCTATAGAAATGCTGTATTAAAAGCATAAATATAGCTTAATTTTTTTTAATTTACTTATTTGTAACTTACCTTTATTGTTTTTATAAATAACTCAGGGCGGTGAACATATCCAACTCAACTTCTTCCTCCTATTTTTCCCATAACAACAACTTTATGAAGTGAATTGGCCGAGAGAGGGGCTGGCCCAAAGTCACCCAGCTGGCTTTCATGCCTAAGGTGGGACTAGAACTCACAGTCTTCCTTTATCTAGTCTGGTGCCTTAACCACTAAAGCAAACTAGCCCTCTTTATCTCTTTAATGTGACTAATATTCCCAATAACAATGCGCAATTTATAAATTCCAGACTTGAAAATAGAAAAACTAATTTATTTCAGAAGAAAACAAATACAAGAAATAGATTATTTTTGTGACATTGCCAAAGCAATTAAGTTTCTTTGTGTTTTGCAGCATTGCTGTTCTTTTCAAGATTTCAGTAATTCCAGGGCCTATAGCCCTGTTTTAACTGTTAAGCTATTAACAGCTTTTTATAATCACACAATAAACTTTTATTCTCTTTTCCAGTTAGACTATTGTATACCTTCAAACTATTATTGGTAATAAATAGACCATGATTTTTTTTATTTTCAAATGTAAGAATATAAAATTCAGTTAAATATGTATTATATAAATCTGGGCTGCAAAAAATCTATATGGCTATTAGATGGAAGCAAAGAATTAGAATTTTTATTATCTCTTTGCTGCCATCTGGTGATTTTCCAGATTTTTGCAACCTAGATCTAGTATTACAGATATATGATGTCAGCTATAATATTGTTTAATCAATTTGAATAATATAAGTCCTTGTTATTTTATTGATTTAAACATAATTTTAAAAACTGAAACCAAATTGTTTTAATAAAATATTTTTGTTTAATTCTGTTCTGCTGACATTTATGGGACTTCTAAGAACATCTGCATGTTTATATAATTCTAAATTTTGAGTTCTTCCAATATTATGTTATTCAATGTACTTTTACATTTTAATAGGTCTTGGCAAGTTTAAGAAGTGTAAGAAATAATTTTACAATACTGACTAATCTGCAGGGAACATCAAACAAGTAAGTTACTTCTTTTCATTTTTCTTTTTAATTAGCTGTTGTAATAATACCTTAAGGTTATAAAACTATGAATTATCTATTCAGAAGTAGGTCCTGTTTAAAATCAGTGGAAGTTACAATCCAAATATTCATTTGATTGAAATACAAGATAATCCCCAAAACAGTTATTGTGAGTTTAGATTTGAATTGCAGAAAGATAATTGTGGCTTTGGTCCTCATGTAATTTGGTTCATCTTGGTTTTTCATATTTTCCCTATTGTTAGTTTATTCTATCTCTTGGGTGCAACAACTTCTGTTTTCTTTAAAAAGACAAATTCTTAATGAAAAATCATATGTATTTCATCCACATTTTTCCTAATATATTTATTGTGTTTGAGGTGTATTTTAAAAATAGTTTTTTTTCCTAATATATTTGTGTGTGTGTACATACATACATATATACATACATGCATACATACATACATGCATACCATTAACACGATTGAATTAAAACATTTGAGAACCAAACTGAACATGTAAATACTATTCGTTGTTTCACTTAGACCTGGCCTCAGGATCCCTACACTCATCACACCTGCCCACATTGTGCTGTTCAGTTCCCCTAGGCATATTAGACCTCAAAGTCTTTAAATTCTCCGCTCATTCTCTAAAACCCTTTCTGAAAACTTATCTGATAAACTGTTACAGTTGCTTTATGCCTTTAATGGCGGCTAATTCAGTTGTCAGATTATCTCATAATGTCACAAGGAAAGATCTGGTAAAAAGCATTCAAAATATTCAAACAGACAACCTTCTTATGACTCACAATAAAAGACCTCGAAATTCCTATTTCAATTTTCAGGTTTTGAATTTATACATACATACATACACACACACACATACACATACACACACACACACACACACAAAATTCACCTCTATCAACAATTTTACAATTTTACCTAAAACACATATATTTTTAGCCATTTGGTAAGAATTGTTCTGCAAAACTCTGAGAAATATAGGTATTAACAAAAAAACCTGTTCAATTTTACCTGTTGAAAAAAAATCAAATTTGGTGAATTAATATGAGCAAAATTCTCTATTTCTTTCCCTATTTTTGAAAAATACACTAAATTCAGTCTATATTGGAATGAATTATGAAAAAAAATTAACTGTTCAATAATGATAGCATTTATCCTGCAGTTTTCACTATCTGTTATTGGCAGATTTTGAAAATATCCTGTCAATGGTCAAATATAACCGAACTTGTACAAACATCTGGTACAGCATTTGGGGAAGCCTGCTTAAGATTTACAGTTATCCTCATGTGACTGGACCCAATTTTACGACATTTTTGCAGCAGTTGTTAAATGAGGCACTGTGTTCATTAAACAATTCTGCAGTCAAAAAGCAAATGCCACAGTTGTAAGTGCAAATTCATTCTTCCGAATGGGCATTTTCCCCAGAAAAATACAAATTGCAGTCACATGAAGGCAAAGTGGTTGCCAAGCACCTAAAACAAGGGTCTTCAAACTTGGCAAGTTTAAGACTTGTGGACTTCAACTCCCAGAATTCCTGAGCTAACATGACAGGAAGAGGAATTCTGGCAGTTGAAGTACACAAGTCTTAAAGCTGTCAAGTTTGAAGACCCCTGACCTAAAATGTGGTCACATGATAGGGGGGAAATTGGTGCAATGGCCAGGAGTACTTTACGGCCTGTAAAAAGCACCTGTTCCCAGCCTGTCATAATTTTAAATGGAAGTATTTGTGCAATATTTATTACTTTTCATTGTCTATTGTCCAGATCTTTATTTAGCTGTCCAGTTTATTTAATGTTTCTTTGAGGAAACTATGTTTTTCTCCTCTGTGGAATCTCATGAGGGCAAAATCAGAAGCATTATACTTACATGTTTAAAAGTAATACCATCGGTTGGTGTCGACTGATCAGAGAACTCTAATGCAGATGCATCCATCCCCTCCACATTTCCTCTCAGTCATGAGAGTGTGCAGTATGATTTCACTTAACATTCCTAAACAAGCAGTATGGAAGCCCTTGACACTGAATCTGTGTGACAGCTGCTTTTTGAGGCAAGCAGATTGTAGGCATTGACTTGCTCTATGGATAGGCCAATGGTCCTCCACATAAAAAGATGCACTTAGCTGTTTTAGACTGCATGCAGAATCATTTCTCAACTTTAAGAGCGGTGGACTTCAATTCCCCGAATTCCCCAGATAGTGCTGCTGACTGTGGCTTTCCCCGTGTCAAAGTCTACACTTCTTATAATTGCCAAAGTTGAGAAACACTAGCATGGATGAATCATCTCACTAGCAGCTGATGTTAAAGTTACACATCAGGGATGAAATTCAACCACCTCGCCCCACACTCAGGAGAGGTGGTAGGGATGATTTGAATCAGACCAAAATTGCTATTAGTTGCTATTACTATTGTACTAAGTATACCAAGCCACACCCACAGAGCCGGTAGAGAAAAAAATTGAATTTCACCCGTTACATGTTTACAAATTTAAATGGAAGATACTATGTGGCGTATCCTCCATTCAAATTTGATTTTAGCTGGCATCTCTAGCCTTCAGCTTCCCACTACTCCTATGGAGTGAGCCCTTAATCTATGTTAATAGGAAAAACCTGCATTGTGTTCATGGGCATCTCTGAATCCCAGTACAGCCATATAATAAGCTTCAATTCATTCCTCTACAGGAGGTCTCCAGCAGCAAGTCAGCTACCCATCTCCAAAGTAAACATTCAAGGTATGTGTTCTGTTGTTCAATTACAAGGCCTGTCCTGTACCTTTACAGCATCAAGCAGAGAAGTATCATTATACATTTTATAATGGATATTTGCTGGTCGAGCATAGGTTACTCAAGCTGTTTTGTCATTAGTTGTGTTTTGCAACACAACTGAGTAGCAGAGATGAGAAAGAACCTTTGTGAAGAGAACAGAAACAGATGGTAAGATATGTGTGAAAAGAATGCCTAGAAGAAGAGTGGTATAGGCGCAGACAGGAAGAGGATGGAGGAAATGATTCATTGTTGAAATGCAAAGGGTTCATTGTTGAAGACTTTACAAAAAACAATTGTGAGCAACCTTTCCATTTAACAAAGGGATGGATTTCATTGCTCAATATGCTCTTTACAAAAACAACATGCCTAACTATTAATGGTATGTGTCAACTGCAATGCAACAATTCTTCCTGCATAAGCCTTCTAGGACACTGCAACAATTCCAGGAATAAATCTTCCCTTTTTGGGTAATAATTTCATTAAGATTATATTATAGAATACATGCACTTTACATAGAATAAAAACATATAAAAAAGAAAAATTGCATAAAAAAGAAGAAACCTCTTCTTTCTGCCCCAAAAAGTGTAACCAATTGTAACTTATCACCGTCTCTTAAAAAGTAATAATCACCTCTTTATTCTATACCCATCCATTCTCTATGCACAAATCTTTAAAACGTCTTCACTCCATCTTAATCAGAATAAGACCATTAAGGATGATCAGATATGATAACATACTATTACAAAATACATTAATAAACACATTTTAAATTCTTCCTTTTTCCATTTAAACAAATTCCTCCATCTTGTTTTTAAATAAACATTAAAAAGCATTCTCGTACAATCCTAATAAAAATGCATTAAACTTCATCAGAGATCTGATTTATTCTAACCCTGATCAAATAAGCCAATTTTATCTTCTTTCTCCCAACAAATCTTTAATCCTCTCAAATATCTTAGTATCTGCTTTCTTTGAAAGCCCTCTTCATCTTTTCTCCCAAACTTATTAAGACTTCTATCAAGCCTTTTTGTAAATCCAATATAAATTGGTTATCCAGATCGTATCTTCACTGTTTGTCACAAAACTGTTAACAACTTCAATAAGTACCTTTTGTAACTACATTGGAAAAAAATTATCCACACCAAACTTGTGGTTTAGTTTCTGTGTGTTTTGTATCTATGGAGGTTCTCAGTCATCCAGGTCATGGTTGTCCCAAATGTGCTTTTTCAAGAGGCAACTGGGTTTTCTAGTTTTTCTTTGAAGACATTTTGCTTCTCATCCAAGAAGATTCTTCAGCTCTGTGTGTTTTGTAGTTGTTAAATAATCAATTAGTTTGGTTTTTACATCCAATATATCATCTTTTCATATATCCTTTATTTCATCTTTTTCCCTGCAGGCTACCATTTTTAAAGTCAAATTCATATCACCTTTAGTTTTATTTATGGAGGTTGTACTTTAAAGGCATAGTAAAGTTTTTCTATTATAGAAGATAATTTTAAAGTAATTTTGGGCATGCAAGCAATAATTACAAAATTCTCTTAAAGAAATCCACTGATCTATTTATCTCCTTTATGCCCTCTAAAAACCAACCTTCAAAGTCACCTTATCAGTTATTTTGTTTCCAGATGTAAACATTAAAAAGATTATCACAGGAAAGGATTGTTACAGTTAATTTCAGACTTCTGATCCAAATCCATCTGAACTCTTAATTACCATTTAAAACTTTCTGAAATCCACACTATCATCCAGGGGTGCGATTCTAGCGGTGCTGTCTGACTCTGTAGAACCAGTAGCTCTGAAAAGCAGCAGACATAGAACCGGTTCTATGACTGCTGCTGTTTTGGTCCACCCACCTGTCCGGGCTCTTACCTGACCTTTATTTCCTGCTTTTTCAACCTCAGCTGCCGTGCGAGGCACAGCTGCGGTTGAAAAAGCAGGAAAAAAGTGCTTTTTCAAACGCTGCTTCCCTGCATGCAGCGCTGCTCAGCTGTCCAGGCAGCAAGCTGATGAAGATTTACACGCACACGCAGCGTGCAGGGAAGCACATCATAAATCACCGAACCAGTAGTTAACCCTGTCAGATCTCAGCCCTGCTATCATCCCTCTTTGGCTGTATATACCGAAAAGAAAAGTTCAACTTATAAAAATACCTTAGTTAAACGATTGAGGGAAAACTCACCTGGTAAATATGATCATATTTGCCATTCTGAAGGATAAAAAGAGTAGTAGAAAAAAAAAAGAAAATCCAACATGATTATGAGGTTCATCCAGAACTTCAAGTCTTTAAAGCTACATTGACAGCTGTCAGTTCAATGTAATCCCGAGACACACCCCCGCCCCGGCTGCCAACTAGCCAACCACAAATATGCAGTTTATGTCTTCTACTCTCTCACTCAGAAAGTTAAAGACCACCTATCTGGAGTACATAAGGCTGATTTCAGTATCTCTCCTTACTCCAGATAGACTTGAATAGTCTGAATCCCGCATTCAGCTGCCATTTTTAGCTTTAATGTCCCCTACTGGTGATGGGATGCTAGTTATCATTCCTGAGCAGAAGCAACTCCTGCAGGCATAAATCTTCCTGAAATTCATGCAAACAGCCTTATTTCTAAGCATGGTAGTACAATTGAGCTTACTGGGGACACTGATTCAGATGTTTTTTCTCTAGAATAGAGGAATGCAATGAGATCAAATATATTGCCTTACTTTTTTAAAAGTTTCCTTTAAACATTTGCAAAAGCGACTTCAAATTTTATACAATACCACTTTGTTACTTTAAATAGGCCAATTTTTTGTTCAATGACAGCCCCAATCCACCACTGATGATCTCAGAAAGCTGGGTAAGATCATATCTGTTCGATGCTTAGATGGGAAGTTGGGAAGTTTTTAGATGAAACTGAAAAGTTGAAAAAGCAAGTTCTCTAATGTTGCCAAAGAATATCATAGATGTCGAGTCCAATTAAATGAAGGAAGGTTTGCTTTTTTAGCATTTATTTCAACATTCCCAGGAGTTGGGATAAGGTAATTATTCTAGGTTGTCTTTCTTTTTAGCTATATGATTCTCAGGTTGCATCCATATCACTTGATTATTTAGTCTTTTCACTACACCAGGGGTCTCCAACCTTGGCAACTTTAAGACTGGTGGATTTCAATTCCCAGAGTTGCACTACACGATACACAATTATCTGTTTGTGTATTTATTTATCAAATTTAGAAACTAGCCATCTCTCAACCAGAGGGACTCTTGTCCTTGTGCAATGAATATAGTAAAATGTTACAAATATAACAACTGAATATAAAAAAATTAAATTAGAGGCAAGGATAATAAAATTTAAATTCTGTTGGAATTTGGGGGAAATTGGTAACTAGGGAAATATACTGTATATTTTTCATTGTAATAATAAAAGCCAGATGTAACTAGAATATTAGAATTTTAAAAAATGGTTTCCTCTATTGCACAGATTTGGAAGGAAATAATATCCAAATTAAGTAAGCATAATTGATTTGGAAACAGGTGGCCTCTAGAATTCTAGCCAGAAATGGATCATGTTTTCTTGATTTCATCTGCATTAAGTAAAAAAGACTAAAGTAAAACTAATTCTTGGCTGTAATCTTCAGTGTGTTCTACTTCTTTTCATTAGATCTGTAGTATTAAATGGATTTTTATTCAGCAAAAGGCAGTAATCTATTTAAGAGTCACTTGATAGAATTGAATCTTTGAGCAGATATATTCCATTTAAAGTATATATTCCATTTTCTATCAACCTGCAATTCTGCTGTGAGGGTATAGTATTATTCTGGAATAAGCATATCACATTCTGGCATTAGAAAATGTTGATCATTTTTCAAATGGTCATGCACTGTTTTTCTAGAATCTCAAATATTAGTCATTGGTATTGGCTACTCAATATTAAAATGCATGAGTTTTAATACATCACTACTTCAAAATGGCATAATTCATCTTCCCTTCTCTAATGCCTCCTGTTCTTTGGTTTTCTTTATTTTTAGAAGAATACAAATGGCTCTGTGCTTCGTTGCAACACCAGCTTTCTTGTCCCCTTTTGTCTCTGCTTTTAAAGTGGAAACTAGTTTTCAAATATCTTCCCTGATCTCAACAAAGTTTCTCTAGAAAATGTAAGCTTGATCTAAACTACAGCAGCAGATGATAAATTAGATGTTTGGAAATATTTAATTGACACCACCATTTAGATGACTCACTCTGTACAGAGAAAGGAGTAAGTGAATTTGCTGACTAATGTGACAAAATTCCCTTGTTTTGTATGCTAGATTAGATGCCTTGAATCTTGCCAAGGCTTAAACAGATTTAATGTACTTATACAGGTAGTCCTCGATTTATGGCCACAATTTGAGTGCCAAATTTCTGTTGTTAAGAGAGACATCTGTTAAGTGAATTTTGCCCCTTTTATGCCCTTTCTTGCCTCCATTGTTAACTAAATCACTGATTAGTAACCCAGTTGTTCAGTGAATATAGCTTCTCCGTTGACTTTGCTTATCAGAAGGTCACAAAAGTTGATCACATGATCTTGGGACACAGCAATGGCCATAAATATGAACCACTTGCCAACCACTTGAATTTTGATGACATGAGCATGTGGATGCTGCAGGTTGTAACTATGAAAAGTGGTCAAAACTTTCTTTTTTCAGTGCCATTGTAACTTTGAACGGTCACTAAATAAACTGTTGTAAATTGAGGACTACCTGTATTATCCCCTTGTTTCTACACACACCACAGTTTAAAAATTATACTTCAGAAATTAACAACTTAACAAAAAAAATTTTCTCATATACTCTTTAGACTGTGTCTATGATTTTAATTCCTAATTCAGAATTCCTCGGGGAAGCAGGGCTTATTCAAATATAAATGTTACCTTGAGATAAGATGGGCAGCCTATAAATTTTATAAATAAATAAATATATATATAACACTAAATATGTAGTCCTACAAA